TATTTGAACAGGAAAAAGTTAAAGTTAATCATATTAATAAATATTTTTTTTATATACAAAATGCAAAGTGTTTAAAAATTGTAAGAAATGTATTTTTTGCCATCTAAAAATAAAGAATATGTTGCCATGGAAATACCATATTCTTGGAGTTCTATCATTTACTTTGAAAAGGATGAAAATTAGTTTACCAATTTATAACTCTTAAATCAGAAAATGAAGAAGTCTTATATTTACAAACATTTAAAATTAAAATTGGTTTACAAATAAACATTGGTGTACAAAAACAAAGAAAATTATGCAAATGTTGCCATGGAAACAAAATTTTTTATAAACATTTTTTTTCCAATTTTTCTGACATATTCAGGCAAGCTAGGCTTCGAATACTATGAGAATACTTTAGATAGTTACCTTTGCTAATACACATATATATATGAATATATCTCTGACTTTAAGCTACTATTATTTGTGTTGTGAAAGAGATACAAAACTTGAAAGAACAATTTTTACTAACATAGCATGAAAGCTACCATAGAAATGTTTACCAATTGGTTACCAAACAAAACAAAATTTTAAATATCTAGTGTTTAAATTGGAAATACCTATATGCTAATATTATTCCTATGCTAAGTGCATTTCATGAAATGCTGGAATTGGATACTTGTATCTTGAGAAATATCTTACACTATTAGAATAAATTTGCAAAATATTCACTTTTCACACCTACAAATTTATCAGAAAGGTTGCCATGGATGCACAAAATTATGTATTTACAGCATTCAACATATTTTCATACATAGCTGATAAAGTCTGATGATGTTCTTCTGCCTTGAGATTCAAGACAATTTCTTGGAGACGTTCATCATTCACAATGCTCTCTGTATCCACTAATTCAACTGAAAAATCTGTACGTCCCTCTCTGACTTTGCACTGTTTCTTCTTATTATGTATGTAAGATGCAAACAAGTTTCTTAGCTGATTTGCAGTCAGCCACTCATGTGGCCTGAAGAGGCGACAACCATTTTCATCGGAAGCTTTTTTAAGTTCTCCACTTAAGGCTGCGTCGTTAGGGCGTTTTCCTGTCTTCTCACAGTTTTCAAAAATCTGCTTTACATAGTCTTTTACATTTAGCGAGAACCTGAGGCATTTACTTACAGATTTTAATGCCCACCCTCCTGAACTTTGGGAACACGTATCATCAGTGTGAGAGGTTACTGTCTCACAGATGTGAGTGTATTTGTCGCGAATGGCAGAACACTTCTCAGCCCAGATTCTTATTCCAGAATCAATCCCAGTTTCCTCTGCTTTTCTGTACAGGTGGTTCCCCAGAGCAAGATGTTTCTCGAGATTGGCAGACCTCAGATACTGTTTCTGACAAGAGGGATCTGGACAGGCATACAATTCATTTTCCAGTTCTGTCTGATCCTGGTCCTGCTCATCGACAGCTTCACTTCTGTTGTTAGCGTTTCTTTTTCTCACACAAACTTGTCCAGTATCAACTGCATGTGATGGAATTTCTTCTAAAACCTATACCAGAAAAAATCCATAATCCATTAGTAATACTTAACTGAAAGAATAGCATTTCTACTGTATATTGTAGAATTTAAAAAAAAACAACTATTAAGATAATTTGTGTAAATCCATACAAAAGTGATTATAGATTTGTAATTATGACAAGTACCTGGAAACCTTTCATTTCTCTCACATCAAGATGTTGATTTTTCAGGGGTTTTGTCTCAATGAGTCTTCCACAACCAACCTGGTATGCCTTTCTCCCAATTATTGAATCCATGTTAAATACGAAGTTGTTCAGAAGGCTGATCTGAGGGATTTTGGATTTTATTTTCGGTTCCTCTGCATTGTCAATGGAGACAACACAGGCTTTAGTTCCTTTCAATCCATGATTGCTTTCTAAAGCTCTCTTCAAGTCTGAGGCAGACAGAACATCATTTCCTTCATCCAGATATCGGGCCACATGCATTTGACAGGAACCAGTTTTGCTGTCACAAAGATCTTTCCCAGATTGCGCTTCACTGAAGTTGAACTCTTTGATGGTAATAGGAAAATGGCAGTAATTCTGACTGACAAATGAAATGAGTGGTGTACAGTGGTAGCATCCAGCATTGTCTGTCTTTAGGAAGATCTCTTGAAGGTTTGGAAATTGCTCTGACAGAGTTGGAAGGAGGTGCATAATGATATGAGCCACAGAAAACCAACCTTGATTTCCATTCTCGAGGATATGGATAAAGGTGTTCAGGTCGTAATGGTCTGGCAAGGTGCTAGCTGTTGCTTCAGGGTCACTCCTCTGGGTAATTAAACAGGATATATGCCAACTAATCCCCCTTTTTCCAAAGAAGTTTGACTGTGTTTCTCTGTACTGGAGAGGAAGGAATTTCATGGCCCAATCCATTATAAGTAGTCCTTGGTTTAGGTCAAGGTGTTGTAAGACATCTGATCTTGCAAAATCTTGATGAACAGTTCTGAGAAGATGAGCCTTCCAGTCCCTGATGGCTTTTGTTGTCATGACAATTTCATGCTGCAATTCCTCCATTAAATCCTCAGATGGTATTTGAACTGTTTCCATGGCTTCCTTGATGCATTCTGTAAGTTTGTCTGTCAAAACACAATAAGAGCAAGTGTCTGAATGTTCATGGTCACAATTACTTGAAAAGCATGTGTCTGCTGGATCACTCAGGGCATATATTGTACAATGATCACTGCATGATGAACTTCTGCTAAAATGACTCTTTGCATCAAATTTCAAATGCTGATTACAGATGTTGATCATGTCAATCAGATTCTCTTTTTTCTCTGTCTCCATTCCGTATTCACTAAGTCGTGTCACAACCTTGTGTAATGACTCCATGGCATCCATTCCAAGGGCTGTGGTGTTGTCAAGTCCATGCATTGCTTTCCTTTTTGATGCTCGACAGGCTTTGAGGATTCTGTACAATGAAGCACGGCTAAAAGTTTGGAAATCTGATTCCTTGCAATACTCTTGATAGTTTGCAATGATTCTGGCACTCACAGCATTTCTGATGACCTTTGGAATCTGCACCTTTTCTCCACTTGACAAATGTAGCTGTGTGGCACCAAAACCAAGAACCTGGGAAACTGAGGGCATAGATACATATTCAATAAAATGAAGCAGTTTTGGTCTGGTCAGACGTACTCTGTATATCTTTGGTGGATTCAGCATTTGTCCTGGTCCTATGACTGAGGCATGTTTTCTAGCTGCATCAATTCTGGACTGTGTAAGAGATGGTATAAGCTGAAGAAGCTTTTGCTTTGTAAAGTTGTTTACAAACAATGACAGGATCTGCTGTTGTGTTTTTCTGTCTGATGTTGCATGATAGGCATCTATCAACTGTTTTGTGGCTTTGTCTATTTCTTTGCTCTCATTTTCAGATGTTTGACAGATTTTGGCAAGAATGATGTCTTCTTGTCCTGGGGCAATGATGGACAGAACTATCATTACAGCTTCTTTAGCCTTGCTGATGTAGTAATACTTTGCAGACTTTGCTAACTCAGACCAAGGTCTTGTAAGCTGGGACTTTAGAGGCTGAAACTGATCTCCTGAAAGAAAAATAGTCATTGTTAGAATATAGAATGTAATTTGTTATATAAGGAGAGTAATCCTCTACTGGAATTCACAAACTAGAGGCCCATGGGCCAAATCATTCATCTAGGTCAATATGGCCCTACTGTTCTTTACCAGCAGATTTCTTCTCCTACACATTCATATGTAAAGTTTTGATCACATTAGCCACACCCTACCCCCAGGGGTCATGTTTTAAATGAAATTGAATCTTCACTATCTGAGGATACTTTCATATTCATATGACTCATAATGGCTTTGCAATTCTTGAATACAAATTTTTTTTGCCCTATTGTCTGCCACCCTACCCTGGGGAGGGGGGATAATTTGAACAAACTTGATTCTACTCTACACTACATTCATTGACATGGATGCTTCTGACTGACTGATCATGACTTTGTTCTTAATGAGAATAACTCGTACTCAGTTACTCAGATGTATAATTTTTTTTTCATATTCCAAAGTACATATCTTTATCAAAAAATTACCAAAAAATAACTTAAATGTGCATACGATAAATAAATAAGAGTGCCATCGCCCTTACCCATTTAAAACACCAGTTATCGTCTTTGGCTGTGTTTATACACTAATTAGTGACCAATTACCTGGTATACAGCTTTTCTCACCTATTGCGGTCCTATCGGTGTATCAAAGTGATACGTTTTGTTTGTTTGTATTTTTTAAAATAAATCAATCAAGTACAATAAATCATTTTCATTGAACTCGATGTTTTTAAACATGCACTCAAAGCGTAATAAAAAACATTGGGGTTTAACAGAGTTTAACTGGGTTTAAGAAAATTAACAGACTTGTATTTACAATTTTACCGAGTACCCGATTACTTGATCCGAAAAATGTCCAAGTAACTGATTATCAAATATTGACCGATTGAAATGTGTAAATGCTACAAGAGGATGCTTCCAAATCCATATTACTAAATCATCTCTTAACTATTGTTATCAAGATTTTAAGATGTGGCCCCATCCTACCCCTGGGGGGTCATGATTTGAACAAACTCTGTGTGTTGACGTATGAGCCACATTGGATCAAGGGTAGAGAAGATGAGCTATGGAGAAGGATTTTTTATGTAACTTTGCTATGACCTTGACTTTAGACCTAAAAACATGGTTCAATGTCACTGCACACCTTTTACCCAAAGGCAATCTTTGGGTGAAGTATATTAGCCCCATTGGAACAAGGGGAGAGAAGATATGCTCTAGACAAAGATTTTTCACATAATTTTGCTATTACCTTGACCTTAGGCTTAGACCTAGAAACATGGTTCAAGGTCACTGAACACCTTTAACTGATTGGGCCAAGGACTAGGAGAGAGAAGATATACTCTGGACAAGGGATCTGGGATGGACAGACCGACGGATGGATGGAAGGACAGGCAGACTGATCACTATGGGGTGCCCACAGAGTGGGACCCTAATAAATTGAAGTAATATAGTACACTAAATAAAAATATAAGTGATTTCTGGCAGTATCAAATACTCACAGGAAACCTCAAACTCCATGTCTGTAGTTAAACTCCCTATGAAAGTTTCTTGTGAACTTGGTACACCTATAATTAATGAATTGATCATGTAATATCGAATGAATACAGTATATTGATAGAATAAAGTTAATATATTCTCTTGATTCTATTTTTACTGCAATCAGATATGACTTTGGATAAGAATGAATTTAACTAAATAAACTTAACCCTTAAAAATTCATGGTCAATTGTCAATAATGATAAGTCAAATTTTGCACAGATTATATGTCTAGCCTTGCAATTTATATTTTATTTTAATTTATGATAATTACTTTGAAATAAAAATTTAATCGTTCTGACTTATTGCGGTTACAAGTCCCTCTTTGACCATATTGATGGCTTTTTTACATTGGTAAGATGTACTATTTTCATTCATACAAGTGTACATACTGTCTTTATTTTGAATCTCAAATGCCATTCCTTCTTCATTTTCAACAATTTGGGTATCCACCAAGTGCGACTGTAGACATTCACCTAATTAAATGAACCAAATTCATTCAATTTCATTACACTTATGCTATAGATTTACTTTATAGGTGGTTTAAATTTATACAGATTATAATTGATAAATGGATCAAAGCACAGATTATTGTACATGATATCTTCTGAATTTGCCAGAAATACTTTTCTGTATTATTAAAACAATAGATCTTGAAAACTTTATAGTAAATTTTCATTGGAATACAATTAGATGTCCAAAATAAAGTGTCATGTAGTCTACTTACAAAGTAATTTCCAGAAAGAATGGCAAGAATGATGATAACACAATAGTGAATAATCACATACATTATCAACATAAAACAATGAAAATTATTTTACATTGAATTTTTGACTGTGTGCATTTGCCCCTAATTGTTGTACAAATTTGTTCACACCACTCTGAAAGTAAAATAATGTGATCTTCTAAATATGTACTTTTTTTTAATTAAAAAAAATTCAATTTGTCAGGAATGGCACAAGTTGCATGCCATTGTGCAATAATGTACTAAACTAGCAAGGTATATTGCATACCATATACATGCTATATTGCATATCATATACATGCAGCACTGAAGTTTCAGAATTTCATGAGTTTTATAAAAAAATGTCCAAGTGCTTTCTACTTAACAAAGGATTTTGTCTTATATGTATAAAATAATTAAGCAAAGAATCCTTTCATTCTCAATTTTTTTCTAAAATTCCAGGCTCACAGAAAGCAATTTCAGCTGGGGGGGGGAAAGGGGAGCAAGGCCAATCAGTTTGAGTTGGGGGCACTATCAACTAACAAAAATTTCTTGAACAAGCTCAAAAAAAGGTCATCAGTTGTGAGGGGCCACATGTATATATATAGTAGCTAATTTTTCTACAGTATTCTATACATGGCCGGGAAAATTATTTCCTAGTAATAACACCCCCCCCCCCCCATGGCCATGCATTTAGAATCTGAAAATTGGTTACATGTATCTCTGTGCAATATGCATATTAGCTAGCTAATGTATAGTTAACAAATATAATACTAGTAATTACCAAGTTCTTCCACAAACTCTAAATTGTAAGATGGAGATACATTCTTCTTATGTTCCATTGAGCACCTCTTGCATATTGCTACAAGACAAGTAAATAAAGCACATTATGTCAAAGTACAATTACACTCTTTTAAACAGAACTTAATTTAAGGCATATACACATCACTATTTTTAAATTCAATTCCATTAAATTTCTTAAGCTTAACATATGTATTATAAATAGTGATCACCTGTTGTACACTGTTTTTATAGATAATATTTTATTATATAGCTTTCAATGAGTGCCTTAATTTCGATTACAACATTTAATGCAGTTTCCAATAATGGGCTTAAATGACAATCTCCTTTTTTCATTTAAAAAAAATTATAATGGTTTATGTAATTTTCAAATAAATTCCTAACAGACCATATAAGTCTTTTTACTTGCATGCAGTGATCTGTTTGTAAATCACTTGTCATTTTCTCAAATTACTTCATGTATAAGCTCTTTATTTTTCTTGAATTTATAATTATTTACTGTAGATTTATTCCACTCTTTCATTACATAATTCAATGCACTTCTAAAATAATCATTTATTGAAAAACTGATAACTAGGTTCACAATAATTATAACCAACCTGACCCTACTGGTAATATTTGTCTTGTCTTTAACCAGAGTTCTTTGCACAACGTTGGACTGGCACCTCTGTCTGGTTTTATCTTTCCCTGATGACTAGGATAAGAACAGGTTCGCCTGGGTCTTTTCCATCTTGCCCCCAACTCTTCACGGTGCTTTATGCATATTTTCATCGATAGAACGGTTTTATCAACCGTGAAATACCCACTTCGATATAATATTATCATATACTCAGGGCATTTGTGGGCATCATAAACATGCTTGTGTATAATTTCTGCACTTTGCAGAGAATATAGATGGTTCAAAATATCTCTGTCACATTCATAAATATGAAACGTTTCGGCAATATCACAATTAGATTCACCATCATGAAAGTCACACACAGGTGGTGCTTGCAAATGAACCTCCATTTCCAATTATAAATAAATCAAATCAACAATAAAAATAATGGAAGTCATTCTGGTTAAAAAAATCTGACCACATAGATCTTAAAACTTTAACCAAACTCATCATGATCACTGTTTTTGACCTCCATTTGACTTCCCTACTCTTTTCTACCTCCTCTGCCTGGAGATTGCATTTAAGGGGAGGTAAATCTTATAATTTATTTCATAGATACAAAACTTATCTACCCAATTTAAACAAGGAATATATTGATTTAAAAAGTATTTATGGCCAGAAAATATTTTTTTTTAATTAATTCAAAATTTTAAAAACATTTAGGGTCTAAATGTCTAAAATATAGATAAATTCAAGAATGACCTAGAATATGCTTATTCCATAAATGTATGGGTCAATGTTAATCAATTGTGCAGTAAACCTTGAGAGTCCAAAGATGGATTTTTTTTCAGATTTGATTTAGGTCTTCTAGTTTTATAATCTAGTAAAAAGGAGAAAATACAAGCGTTTACGGGTACATTTATACCTAATTCAAATTTGGCATTTTCTGAGGCATCTAGCAAAGGTGTAGATATGCCAGTTTTCTAAATTCTGCCTAACCTTTATTAAAGCAGTACTGTCAAAGCAACCTTGTTTTATTGAAAGAATAAGACATAGATAACTTATATATAAATACAAAGTTTGTATGAATTGTTCTCTTATTTTCATATTTTGGTACTCAAAATATATCGTTTTTAGTATTTTTTTCACAATTTTCAAGGGATATTTGGGCCATTATATAAAATAGGTCAAAGCTAAAAATAGAACAACACTGAGAGGCAATTGAATTCAAATTTTGGACTTTCATGGGATGCTCTTCCAGTTTTATACCAGTTTTAAAATATTTGAGATGTAAGCTTGTGGACCATTTTTGCCATTTTGCATGGTTTTCTCTGAGACGCTCACTTAAATTACGTTGAATCAATTAAAACGGCGTGTTTATGACGTCAAATACATAAACAAAATGACGTCATAATATACCCTGAGATTAGCAACTTTTTTTTTTTCATTTTTGCGACACGAGGATGTTCCTAGAAGAGGGGTGCAGAACAGGGTAAACTCTGTATGCGATGCCTCTCAAGAAGTTGTAAACGACTCCGACAGCGACGTCAATGAAGAATAATGTTCAAAAATATTTACAGTAAAATTTCAATTTCTAAACTACACATATATGGCAACTTTTCCGGTCTATCTTTACGACGATGAGAACATAGTAGATATTCCGAGAGTGATATCACTTACGAAAATCGTACAATGTATATTTTATGTACAAATCATTATTTTATTGCCTTAATTTGCTTGATACGTTGATTACAAATTCTTTCCAATCTTATATCAGGGATATATTTGAAAGATATGAATTTAAGGTAAAGATCCATACCATGCTACAAGAATAACGAAGCTACAGATTTTGTTTAAACTTCTCAGAATTTGAATTAAGTATTTGTCCTTTTCATATCTGCGTAAATTTTTAGGTCAACCGGGCCTCCTTTTGTTAGGACTGTTACTAAAAATAGACACTGTCTCGAGAAATTACAAAAATGAAGGAATTGAGTAATATATGCTAGCTTTTTAAAATTAAAGGCAAATAAAAATATTTAACATATGAATTGTAGAGAGGATATGCTTGTTTAACGATTTAATAAATCTTTACATCTGCTGATCCATTTAATTGTACTTTTTAGGGCGAATTCAACATATTTAGCTCAAAATTATAAAGTTCATTTCTGGTAAAAATAAATTGCTGCTTGATATTCTAACTACAGATTTCTTTTTAAAGTTAACACGTTATTTTCCAATGTTCTCTCCCTTACATGGCATAAAAATTAAGTGGGGCAGCGGGCATCAAACAAGAAAATTTCACATTTTTATACCAAATTTGCTGAAAAATGATAATTTGAAAAATCTTTTTAACATCTATACTTTTAGGATTTGGGTGTAAAAATCGCTTTAAATATTTAAAACTATCGATAATAGAACAGTAATAAGTATGGTTTAAATCATAAGTTGAATATTTAATGCATAGACGGCCAAAAATTCGTTTTCACGATTCACAAGCATAATAGTAATCGGGTTCAATCTTCGGAATATTCTATAAACCGTTCATGCGCATGTGTGACGTTATGACGGAAGTGAAAGAAATACATTGGTCGTTTGGATGCGATTTATTTGATTAAAAATTTAGAGAAGTGGCACGTTTTACTACTTTTTGTGTCTATGTAATACATTTTTCGCTATTCATAGATACAAATAAGTGGTTTGTTTGCCACATCTTTTTAACGTCTGGTTTCTGATCTCAGGAAATGCTTCGGGTCTGTCTAAGTAAGGTGCAACGTTGTTTATCATGTTTTTATCCATATACCATATACAAATAGATAAAATTAATGTACGCAGTGATGAATATGTTCAGTGTTTCCACTTTGTAATGTTTGTTTGTTTAAACAATATAAACACCGTGCTTATAGGCGATCATATCCTTGGAAGGCAGAGATCCCCTTCTTAAGCTAGGGACACTGAATGATCGAGGTTTTCCGTACAGAACAGGTCCAGCACAATACCCCGATAAAGGTATAGCTTTATCAAGATATTAAAATACCTTGATCAAGGTATTTTATGTAATGAAAATTCAAAAAAATTCTTTGAAAATTTAAAACTGAAAGTCGAGTTCGGAGTTTTTGTCATTGTGTATACTCGTGCATGAAAAACACTGGTATTAACGAGGCTCGGGGGTGGCAGCCATTTTTAGACTATTTCTATCTCCTTTAAAAGAAGAGCTCCATATAAAGATATAGAAAATGATCAAATTTTAAAACTAAAATTTTTTAGATATTTCTTTGCCAAATGATAGTTGACAGCTTAAGATATCATATCTAAAAAAATAAGTTAAATCTGGTGGTTAATTTGTGATAAATTTGTTGACCCCCCAGCCTCCTTAAAAAGAAAGTATAAAGTAACGTCTCCTCACACGACACGTTTTTCTACGGATTTGTTTCTATTTGTGTACTTAACATGCATGGGTAAATTTACTGACAACTCAGATTGAAATTTTCGTGGCAGATCTAGTGGTGAGTGTGTGTGTTCCCATGGACATTGCAGAGTTATTAAATGTACATACTTAACCTAGCAGTACAATTATTCTCTGCCATCCTTGGACTTTTAGTAAGCTGTAGTATTCTCGGCACTAGTGTCTTTCAAATGGCAAATAGATTTTCATTGGTTAAAAAATTAATAGCATCAGGTACTTTTAATCATTGTTGACAATCATTAGACAACTTACCAGTAATCTTTCTTTCTTATATGAGATAAGTTTGGGGAGGACTCTTCATTCATTTGGGGGAAAATGGTTTGCTATGAGTTTTGCATGCTGGTCCTATACATTATCTGGCTTTTTGGAACTGTGTTGCTTAGTGCATATTGATGTTAAAATAGATAAATGTGTAGGTGTATATATTATAAAGCTCAATATGTTATCAAAAACTATTTATGTAGGAAAAGAAAGAACTGAATAATCACTGGGAAAGTTATGCTTTTTTTTTTTACAAGTGTCTTGATAAACCAAGTTTAACATCAACAAAAAAAAAAACCTGATATAATTGTCTCCCCTTTCACTGAAAGTGGGGATACTAAATTTAGGTCTCTGCATCTGTCCGTGTGTCTTTCTGTCTGTCTGTAACACTTTCAAGAAGCTTTTGAGCTTTTGCATTGAAATTTTACACAGCAACTCTCTGTGGCTCGAGAGAGACCCTTATTGATTTGGTGATCAAAGGGTCAAGTTAATTATGCAATAAATTCTGTTGAAAAATTGATTTGTTTTTGAAAAACAAAACACTGTCATAACTTTTATGAGACAGTATTAATAATTTTTCATTCAAATAAAAAGCAACAATCTTGACATAAATCCATAAAATCTAAATTGAAACTGGTTATCTTTGTTTTTAATGATTAATGCATGATTAAACCATGCACGAACAACCTGATTATATGATTATAACATTGTAAGCACTCGGCTTAACAAACAGAGTTGATTTTGTGAATTGTCTGATTGAAATTTTATCCTTTTCCTTATTCCTTTTTATATCACCCTCTATGATCTCATAGGCATTCCTATTTATCATCTTATACATGTTTTCCCTTCTTTGTTACTGTCATATTGCTATTTGTGGGTTTAAGTCTAACCATCATTACAGTAATCATGGTAATGCAAAAAATTGTGATCTAGAAAAGTACACTGGGGATCCACATTGTCTTATTAGCTACTGATATCTATCGCTATACTATTCATGGGTGCTTGAAGACAGAAATATCCCCTTCCCCATCTGATATAGACCCCTGGGTCTGTTCGACATATGTTTTTCTAATTTATTATACATATTGTATATACCGTAGATGACAAATATGTAATTTTATCATCAATTTGGAAATTGGCTTTAGCAAACATATTATAACAAGAGGCCCAAAAGGTTAGAAAATGGTTATGTAACTACGTACAAGCATATACCCGGTAAGCAAACGATAATGACTTTTGATAAGAGAACCATTTATTTGTTACTCTGTATTTTTTCAACTTCCAGAGAATCGAACCCAGGACACCTGTCAGTCTTATGACAGGTGCACCAATACACCACCCAAAGCACTACAAATGGTAGCTAACTTTAAAGGTTATTGTGCACTAGCTTTAAAACAAATTTTTCTAAATTTTCAGCATATGTGTGTATTAAGGAATTTTTTTTGGCAATGTATCAATGTCCTTTCCTACTTCAATGAAATATTCTGTTTGTGTGTTTTTTATCAATAATTATGTTATGTTTCAGTGCAAGGATATACCAAATAACAGAACATTTATATTTGTGCAGTAACTGTTTTATGTATGATATATACTATATTGTAAAAAAAAGTTTTCCAAAATTTTTTTCAAAATCCCGAGTCAATCCCCAGAGGACGATATTTTAATTCAAACAATCGAGAAGAGAAAAACGACTTTTAAAAATCGGAATATTGAAGCAAAGTAGTTAGGTACCTGAATACTTGAGCCGTACGTGGTTCGAAAATGGTTATGTACTAGGCCTATGTACAAACATGTAAGCAAACGATAATGACTTTCGACAAGAGAACCATTTATTTGTTACTCTGTATTTCTTCAACTTACAGAGACAAAAAACGACCCGATTGTCGAAGTCTTTTAGTTATCTTGTACTCGAGACAATGAATCTTCCATGCCATCTTTGTTGTACTTTTGGTTTGACAAATCATCTAAATTTAAACTCTCCTTCGATCATGCATCCCGGAAAATAACTGAACATCGTATATTTATGCCTTTTATTTGGAAATTAATGTACCTTTTTTTACGGTAAGTGAAATCGACGTCAGGCATTTTTGATAGAATAAGCGTCGGGCGCGTTTGACGTAATAACGTCACAAACGAGAATAACGTCACATAACGTTATTTTACGTGGTATGGATCTTTACCTTAACTACGAGTATTTTAGATTCAAAAAAGTAAGTAAATTTAATGTGTTATACAACCATGTGTCTGAGCCTTCTGGAGGTTTCATGAAATTTACGCTTTAGCAAAGACTTATATATCGTAAAAAAATTTCAAAATCGCTACACTGTATTTTAAAAGTACAGGAATTCAAAAAAAATGGGTTATTTGGTTAACACACACAAGAAAAGAAATTTAGAAAAAACTTTACACATTAGAAAATTAACATTTGTTGAATGTTGATTACGATAAAAAATGATAACGGACCTAGGTCTTCAACATTTACAGTGCAAAAATATCATTTTTGTCCTCTGATCATTTAATGG